CCCCAAAACCCCAAAACCCCAAAACCCCAAAACCCCTTTAGAAATCTCCAAAATTGAGCATGATTTATTATCTTTAGAGATTTATTAGTACATTGGCATCTCGTTGTCAATCTCTTCGACGTATTGGGTAATTCCACCTCTCACATTGATAGCAGATTCATATCCTTGTTCAAGAAGATGCTTAGTAGCTTTCCTTGAAGCATTTCCTCTTCTACACATGATATAGACCTTTTCATGAGTTTTAAATATTTCTTCTATTTCATCCTTCTTTGATCCCTTTTGGATATCATCGAGAGGGATATTGACTGATCCAGGAATGTTGACAATGTTAAACTGAACATCAGGGCGGACATCTATTACTGCTACCTTGTCAGAATTTTCTGTTTTGTCTTTTTGGAAAGTACATATGGCTACATCGTTTTCCTTTGGAAGTTTGACTGAGTCAACTAAACTGCAAGCAGGAGCTGGGCATAAAGCATCATAATCATAATCAGCAACTACTCTGATTGAAGGATTTTCTCCACATACTGGGCAATCTACTTGCTTTCCTCTCAGAGTGAACTTTTTAAAGGTTGATGTCTTTCCATTGAAAAAGAGCATTTTATTTGTGAGCACTCCTTCTTCTCCAAGAATAAGTTTCACTATCTCTAATGCTTCAAGTTGGCCAATGATACCAGGAATCATTCCAATCACACCTCCATCTGCGCAGTTTGTAACAAGCTTTGCTGGTGTAGGAGTGGGGTAAACACATCTGTAACAAGAAGAGTCTTTATAGTTGTAGACTGAGACCATTCCTTCCCATTTCAAAGCACTTCCTGATACCATTGGCTTTCCATGTAGAACACAAGCATCATTGAGAATATATCTCGCCTTTGGATTGTCTAAACCATCCATAATAATATCATAGTCTTTAACTAAATCTTCAGCATTATCTTTTGTTAGATGCTCTTCCACTGTTATAACTTTGACAAACTCATTAAAGTCACTGATGGTTTCTTTGGCTGAAACAGTTTTGTTTATTCCCACTCTTTTATTGTTATGAATGACTTGTCTGTGAAGATTTGAAGAATCTACATGATCTCCATCGACCAGACCTATTGTTCCAATCCCAGCCCCTGAGAGATACAGAGCTGCAGGTGACCCTAGACCTCCAGCCCCAACTATCAAGACCTTAGCATTCTTTAGTTTAAGTTGACCTTCAAGGGAGACTCCTGGGATGATCATCTGTCTTGTATATCTCTTATATTCTTCTTTTGAGAGTTGTTCTGAAGAAGCTGATTCCATTAATTTTCTTGCTAAATTATTTTTCAATTATCCAGTAAATTCTCGGGGTTTTGGGGTTTTGGGGTTTTGGGGTTTTGGGGTTTTGGGG